TAAAAGCAGCTGCTCTCACAACACAGATTGTCAGGAAATGGTTTAAAGCCCAAAAGAATTTCTGCCACCAGCCATAGTGCCAAAAGATTTTTAAATAGGCCCAAATAAACAATGATTTGCCTTGAGTTTCAAAGGTAAAGCAACAAAAGTTTATGTTTTCTGCACAACAGTAGCAATGGTTGAAAGTGGAGCAGTAACAGTACAGTTTAGTATTTGTAGTATATTGTGGAGTATTATGTGTATTGTAGAGTTTTAATAGTAATAGTAATTAGTTGCAGACGCTATAATAGTCATTTACATTTAAGATTAAATTAGTAGCCACTTCAAAAAATTAGCTCCTCTTCTTTACATTATTTTGTATACTAAAATACAAACTAAAAACATCAATATTTCAAAATCAATAAAAAAAAAAAATAAACAGACAAATTTCAACCTTAAAATCTTTACTATGGGCTTGATGAACACCGGAACTATTACAAAACAAGTTGATCATTTTTGTGTTGCAAATTACATTTTGCTGTTGTAGAAATAATGTTTTTATAATCACCATGGAGACTCTACTTTGTCATCAAGTAACATATTTATTTAGAATTTCCTTTATATAGAAATGATGCACTCAAATCTGTAAAATAAGCTCGACTAAGTTCAGATCAGTACAAGTGAGACAGAATAAGAGGAAGCAAGCTCTGGTCCGTAGCCAACAGTGAAATGCAATGTGGCTTTACTTTAGAGGCAATAAGTTAGCGCAGGGTCAAGTGTCCACCTCACACTTTCTCTTCTCACACTGGAAAAGACCTGGACACATATTATGATACTGTGGTCTGTGTTGCATTATGTGCCGTAGCCAAAGCAATGAAACCGGACCAGAGATGCTCGCTCGCCCAAAGGAGCCACAATCGTACCGCGCACATCCAAGCCGAGGAATCTCCAATACATTTTTGCCTTTCTGACCCGTCACCCCAAACTGTGTGACCTGAGAATTTTCCTCTAAAATGAAAACACGCTGATTCCACCTGAAAACTGGACAACATGGCAACGCACTCACACACAGATGTTGCATAAACGCTACCAGACCGGTGCATTCTCCATAATTAAATCTTCATAATACTGCGATCTGTGTGTAACCTATTTCACATAAACTCATTTAAACTCATCACTGCGCCTGTCGAAATCACAGTCTGTGCAAAACTGGAATTGTGTCAAAAATAAATTGCTTCTGAAGCGGCTAAATGGCAAGAAACAACTAGCTCCAAAATTCCAGCTCCGAAGGGCTCCTGCCAAGCCCTGACATTAATAGCTTCAAGATCTTGATCCACCCTTAAACCATTTAACCCAATCTGCATTTGACAAGTTTAATTTTTTATCTATATCTACGTACTCAATTTGGGGAAATGTTCTGTTTACACTTTGTTCATTTGACTGCAATTGATCAACCTCCTTCTAATCTAAATCTTGACTTGTCTTTGTGTGCCAATAGCAGATAGAGTACCCCATAGTTACAATGAAATGTGTTAATTATATAAATAGCCATCTAAAATCTGTGGGAACTAAACACTATGATTAAAAAGACTAGAGCCTGCCAGTCAGATAAAAACAGTGCATTTTTTACAATTGAGCAGCTTAGAAAAAAATTTATTTGGAAACAACATATGTAGTTTTAGCACAGAAAGACTGCATCTATTCTCTGGTCTTTCATGGGATGCATGATCTAAAGGTGCACTATGTAACTTTTCTGGTACAAGTCCACCACTTGGTTGTGTCCACGGAGACATTCTAGGGAGACTGCGCTGCCAGGAAAGTACCGCAGTATGGCATTAAACTTGCTTATTAGTAAATTATGTGTTTTTACAATAAAACAAAACCTTGAAAAATGTGCATTCTACTCTCCACAAATTGGACCAGTAAATTGGCAAGGCACTGGTCTCCATGGAAATAGAAAAATAGCAGACCCTCCACCCGGAAAGTTACACAGTGCATCTTCACCTTCATTTTACTCTAACTTTTCAGAGCCTAATTAATTTTTTCCAAACCATTAAAAGCATCTTTAATCATGTCATATAGAAACCAAAACTGTATTTAGACTTAACATACAGTTCTAACTATGTATTTTATAAAGCACAACTACTGATTTATCAACAGTGCCTGTCCAGTTAAAGTTAACAGAAGAGTGCACTGAAAACAAAAACACGAGCCAGTGTTGTCATAAAAGTGAAATACTAAAATGTACCTCTACTTAAGTAAACCAAAGTCAATAATTGGGTAGGTGATGAGCCTCCATAGTAGCATTTTAAAATAAGATTATGGAATGATTTTGGAGCTTTTTGTGACATGATATTAGTAGTAGAAGTAGTTCGATTGCAATTTATTGCAAGTCACATGTCACATGCAAAGTAAACAGTAAATAATGTAAACACTTGATCAATAACAAACTGAGGCCCAAGTGAATGCATGTTTTCACAAAGCATCTCTCATCCAATAGTGCTCGTAGGAACATGCAAATAATACAGTCTTTAAAGTAATCTTTTTACTTCTATACGGGTATTAACTGCTAATAACATGTTTTATAAGTTTGGTTTTGAGGGTCTGAGTCTCCCCTCCCTTCACTCCCCCTTCAGAGCGCTATCACAACACAGTCAGCCTGCATCTCGCTAATGACACTACTGCACATTGCATCTGATTTGTCAGGTTGCTATGTACAGTTTTGTATCATGTTTTAGTGTACTTAAGTCGAATTGTTGTGTGGGAGCTTGGGTGTGAGCTGAGCATTGGTCAGACTTACAGCAGTTACAGTTACAGCAAGCGTAAGGAGGGTTTGATGACATCTAAAACCTCTTCAGGCATGTTTTTGATGAGGGAACAATGTTATAACATGGTAGAAAGCTCTACTATTATTTTGCATAATACCCCCTCTTTAAGTATAATTTCCTCTGCAAAGAAAAATCATCCCTTATGTAAGAAATTGCTAACTCTGTAGTTCGTCTACAAACATGTTCTCAAATGCATGATTCTTGTCTTATTTTATCACAACAGATTCATATTGCAGTTTTCTCTCATATGTTAATGCTTCATTAAAATGGGAACTTTGAACAGAATCCTGCGATCTAAACATAAATTACAAATCAAATTGTAATTGCAATGTTTATCACAGAAATCACAAGTAGATATTTTTTTTCCAAATCCTGCAGCCTCATGGTCCACCACAGCGTGTTGATTTAACACATTTACATCTGCCTCTGAGACTGATGTGTCTTTGAGAATGAAACAACAGCGGCACACAAAAGCCTTTCCACCAGCTGCAAACTGTGCAAACTGTCAGAGGTTCTGACATAAAACCAGAAAGGAAAATATGACGCTTCAAAATTGTTTGTTTTACTGAGTTTTGACGGACCATATCTATCATCACCATTGTTTTTGCCTCATCTTGCACTGTTCTCTTCTTCTCCTATCTCCAAGGCCAACACATATGTCAAACAAGTATTCAAACAAATTACTGAGTGGAAGTTAATGTCGCCAGCAATATATGTAGTTTTTTTTAACTAAAAGGAGCTCCATAAAGTATAAAGTCTTATTAAAGATAACCCCTAAATGCAAACAGTACTTCATCTACTACATCTTTTCAACTCTTCACAAACTTAAATAAAATATATAACAAAAGAATCGTTAGGGGAAAAACAGAAACATTTCTGAATCTGCCTTGTGCGTTGAACCTTCAGGATCCAGTCTTGTTGAGATTTCTGTATCTCTTGACGTTACTGATACTGATACATGCGTGCCTGCTTAATAATAAAATACGACTACTGTGTATCTCTGCGATGTTACCTGCGCTTTGATCAGGAGTCAGCTGTGAAACATGTTGGCTCTGAGACACAAAGCCCAGAGGAAAGCAGCCGAGACAAGACTAGAGCACTGTTTTAAACTCCACCTGCTTTTGTTCAAGAAAAGCACATGTCCGAAAACGCCACATGTGTCCAGTGAGGGGGGAATCATTTAATTAGAGTGACCGCTGACTGATTAGACCTGTATATCAGAAATCATGAGTTCAGCTAAACATTTTCAAGTCGTGTTAATATTTGATATAAAATGTTTATATTGTTATATAATTATAGCCTAATAAATTCCAAAAGCTTAAGCATCTGTTTGTTTGTTTTTTTGTTTTTATACATACATGGATTTGAGCTATTTATTTCAGTATGATAAATATGTGAAAGTATATAAATATATTTTTCTATGAAAGTGCAACATCAATTGAAATTATTAAATACAAAACTAAAAATAATAGGTACTTATAGGCCTAATGAATTTTAATTTAAATGAAATTAAGTAGCCTTAACATCCATATATTTTTAAATGTAGCGTAAACTACCAGACTTTAGAGCCCTGTGAAGATATCACATGTCAGTCACTTATGGGCCTAGGCCTGTGTACTTTTTAGCTGGCTCATGGTTGCAGTGGTTTTGTCTGACTACAATCGACAGTGTAGTTTATTGCTGCATGCGGTGAAGTGGAAATTTCCTGGGGCTTATTACGCGGCCTTGTGGTTCTGTTTGAGGTGGGCTCTGCTGAGGTTAAAGGCTTCATTACGGTCTGCAACAGTCTTTTAAATTAAGACAGATTTGCGGACGCGCGCCTCTATTTGGAAAGTGGTTTAGTTGGGGCATCCCCAGAAAACATTTTAATTAACGAAACGAAAAAGGAAAAAAAAAAAAAAAAAAAACTACAATTATTATCAATTAATGTTATTAAAATGAGTAGTTGAAAATAAGAAATGGCAGTGGCTAATATTTCAGCGTAAGCGTTGCCTTTTGTTATTAAATTGCCACTTTTCAAAAATAGCCTATGCCTATTAAAACAACTTGCTTTTATTTGTAGCGCGCGCGCCAATTTGCTGAAAATTCCCGGATGTGTGTTGGGCTAATTCTAACGGACTCACTGGACAATGTGCCAAAGTGAAACATATCTTTGATTTTACAGTTGTAGAGAAAGTTTGAAGCTGGACTCACCGACGCACTCGTTGGCCTCCCTGGCTGTGGCCCGCTGCCACGGCCTGTCATAGTGGAAGGGCTTGCACCTGTCGCACTCGGGCCCCGCGGTGTTGTGCTTGCAGTCGCACACCTGGTTACCGTCCCGGTCTTTGATGCAGCGGGACGCGTGTCCATTGCACTTGCACCTCCCGCCCACCTGCAGGTCCGACACTGCGTAGAAGTACGAGTCCCGTGCCAGCTCCGAGTCGTCCTCGTTCTCATCCCCAAAAGTGTGCAGCCTGCTGAAGATGACTTTAATGTCCGTGGCCGTGACCCAGTCCTGCAACACCGGAGAGTTGTCGAAGTCGTGCGCAGACGGTCTCCCGTCCAGCGTGCTGAAGGCGATGAGGCCTCCGGTGAGCGGGTACATGTCCGTGTGGGAGTCTGTGCACACCGCCTCTTGCTCGTTCTGCTTCGTTATCGCGGCCCTGTTTGGTTTGTTGTACATTTTCCTGCACTGAGTGGAGTAAAACTGAAATGGTACCCACGTTTTTCCGTAGTCCATAGATTTGTAGATAACCATAGATTCGGGTCGAGGCGAGCAGAACTGAAGACTCACGTACGTCACCTCAAACTTTTTGCCCAGTGACAGCGTGAGAGTGACGTTCTGTGGATACTGCTTGAAGCTCTCGGACTGCCAGCAGGTGAGGTTGTGCGGGTTGTTCAGGTCGGTCAGATAAGCAGGAGGATGATACTTTTTCGGATCAGATGCATCGCACGTGTGGCAGTTTCTAGTCCTCTCGGCTCCCTTCTCAACTGAAGTCACTACACAATAGCGGCTTGGAGTTTTTCCGCATGTGCTGGACACTTTGACTTCTTTGCCAAATGCCGCGTTGACAAAGTCAGGGATGCAGCGCCGAGGGTTGCCGTGTTCATCGTAGCAGGGGTCCGGGGGGGACGTCTGAGCCGCGAACATCCCGCCGTAGCCGCCCAGCACGACCTGGCAACACAGGGACGCAGTGAGGAGGACGAAGAGCATCGTGTCTGCGCGGGAGAGGAGCAAAGTATTATCTCACAGAAGAAGAATAAAAACACAATAGTTGAGAATTAGTTTAGTTATTTTTATAATGAAATACCTAAACTATGGAGTAAAACGACAAAGTTGTTCTTAATTCTTAATACGAGGCTCTGCTCCACCTGTCGGTTTTCTAGTTTCTTCAAATCTCGTGCGTAAAAGAAGCGTCCGTATTTAAGAGTGGCTCGGGTGTCCCGCTCCTCCTGCGCCTTCTCCCCCCTCTCTCTCTCCCCCCCCTTTTCTCTCCTCTCTCTCCTCTGTCTTTGCGCAGGAAAGCAGAGTGGAGTCGAGTGGGGGCGTGGGGCACTGCTTCTACGGCAAGACCGCTCATCTCCGGGGTGAGACGCACGCGCACTGAGGGGAGGGACAAGGGCATCCTCTGGACTGCATCACTGATGGGGAGGTGAGGACGTTTCATCTTGTTCTGCCAACAGGAGCCGGCATGATATCTGTTAAGCTTAGTGAAATAATTGGACACTTTTTATGCGTCTTTTTTCATTACCAACGTGTTCGACTAAACACAAGCATGACAGAAAATACAGTGTTTTAGTATTTTTCAGAAAAATATTTAATTAACATAGCCCGTATAATGGGCTACCGAAAGGTTTGTGCCAATAAATAAATACATTTAAAAAATTTAATAAATAATAATAATAAAAAAAATAAAAATCAAATAAAGTTTTTGTGCACATGATATGGCCCCAAACCTGTTGAGCAGTGACAGTAGACAGCGCCATCTTATGGCTTTAATAAGTATTTCAGTTACTACGTTACATATTGTTTATTATTTTCACTTGATTTTATTAAAGAAATTCACAAAATTCTACATACATTAAATGCAATTTAAAGGTGCACTTTGCACTTTGTAACTTTTCTGGTAGAGTTTTCGCTCACTGCTCGTCTCCATGGAGATACTATTGCTTTGTCTGGAATGTGCCACAATATGGTTTTAGACTAATCTTTTCCAATAAAAACAGGCATATGACAGCACCAAGCTAAGTTACAGGACAGACCTATGGAGAGGTGACCATGCTCGCAGTAACAATGTATATTTTGAACAATAAAAACAACTTTAATTGAATAAATGCGAGATGGATATGTTTAATGTTGTACTGTGGAATATTCCGGACAAAACAATAACATCATCACAGAGACAAGCAGGTAGCAGACTCTCCCCATGAAAGCTACATAGTACACCTTTAATAATTTATCATAGAATATGTATGGTTTCTGACCATCATAGTGTATGTCCAGGGTTGACCTTTTATAGCCTAGAGGTAAACATAAAAGGTTCTACAGGTTTATACTATCACGTTACCATACAATACGTATGATACAGAATCACGTTGTGTCTATTTAAAGAAGGGGAATTCATTGTATTAGATGCAAATGATATAGGCAAACTCATAGAGAGGGCGTAGTTTCATATGCATAGGATGGCAGATATTTGTATGAATTACAGTAACCATTGACAAAATAGTGAACAAGGTGAACAAAGCCACTTCAGTCCTGAGCGTCAAAATAGCTTGAAAACAAACAAGGCAAACAGATGACTTCCTCTTAGCGACTTACATCCCTTCCCACATCCACATGTAAGCTCATATGTTTAGTGACAGCTCCAGACGCCCCACTGTGGAACATACACGCACAAACTCAGCCTCTTCCTCATTGTGCTCACATGCACTGCTCTCATTCACTTCCTGTTTGCAGGGTTTTGTGCGTCGGCAGGAGTACGAGATGCAGCTGTGAAACTACGAGCACCAATCCACCATCTGAGCTCACCGTTTCACAGATCGAGAGTGTCCAGGATGTGGCTAAACCTACTAAACCCCGTTTGTGTACGCTAAGTGAATGGTGTTGACACAGTAAGCGTGTGGAGGCTGGCAGCATGTTGCTTAGGATCTTCAAGGCATGTGTAGAGCTGATGGATACTGCACACTGAAGAACAGGTAAGAAATCAGCCTGTATTTGTCTCTATTGGACTAACCTGACACTGCACTGATAGAGGATTTATAAGTATTGCTCACACTGTAAGCTTATCTCTAAACTATTACTCATCATTTTGTTCTAGTGGAGAACCTTTTGTTATTCTTTACTTTTTGGAAAATTTTAGTTGTAGAGGGTTGAATAAAAAACTTAATAAAAAAAATAAATAAATATGATAATAACTTAACAAGTCATACAACTTGTTAAGTTATTGTCATAATTCCAGCTCAACTTCATTAACAGTACATTATAGAGGTTTTTTTGGGGGGAAGTCCTGCTTCAGTGTGATTGTATCGGAGGCATAATGACATTCAGTATTATTGTCTATATTTTCTCCAATGTTTGTAGTTATTTTTGAGATCTGATTGGTATTATGTGGTATCTCAAATTGCGATTTTTGTAAAAAGTTATCTAAATATGCTACAATTAATAATTAATCTAATCACACATTTACATGATTTTATATTAGCACAAATGCTATATGTATGTACTATATATATTTGTTACTGCACGAGTGAACATTTTGCAAGCTGCACTAAGAAGTTTTATCTGCAGACTGAACAAATCAGACAATGAAATAATGTCAACAAATATGAGATTCAGTGCAATAAGCTATCAGTCCAATATGTGGAGACACTGGTATGGTTGTCTTTTAAAAAACATAAATGTTTGTTGTTTTGTAATGTCACTGTCCTTGTCTGTTTTAAAAATGGGCCATGAGTCCAGGATAAAGATGATGATGATGATGATATATAAAGCTAAAGCCAGCATATTTGACAGGATCACCACATTGTTTTTCTGGTTAGTGTAAAGGAGTCAACCAACCAGCAAAATGATGCCATCCTCAGCACTTTGAAGTTGAAAATGTGTGATATGGTTATTTAAAGGCAAACAGGAAGTAAAACTCATGATTTGAGTTAGATGACATGTATGTCTTCCTTTTAAATGCACATCTGTCAGTGGTGATATAACACTGTACATATTAGGATCGAAAAGTGCCCACTCTTGTGCCCAGTCTTAGTGACGGTTGTGACGAAGCGCAGCAAAAACAAAAAAAATATTTGCTATGATCTCCAGAGCAACAGTGAAATAGTGTAGTGCAGTGTAGAGTTTTTGTCATGATATTGCATGTTCTTGTTATATTATCCTGCCTGTTGGATGACAACACAGTGTTAAAGTGCAAATACAGGAAGGGTTCATCCGCGCTTCTTGGAAATGGCTAATTACTCAATCTGCTCTTATAGGCTATTCATGAGTTCAACATTCAACACTATCTCCTATTGAGAAAGTCACACGCCCAAACTTTCAGTAGCCACACCACCGCAACATGTGTCATCTGTGCAGTTGGCATTTACACCCAGTGGACATGACTGTTCATAAAAATTCCAAGAATAAAAAAAGTTAAATGTTTTAGATTGTGTTGAAAGTAGTTACTCTATGAACTTGACTCACGTTTGATGTTTGTGTTTTTTGTGTATTTATTGAGTTTGGAGAGAGGGGTTTTTGTTTTGTTTGTCATTTTTTATTTTTGTTAGTTCTTCATTTCAAAAAAAAAAAAAAAAAGAATCAGTTACTCTACTATCCCATAGTTCCCCATGTTATTCACAGCTCAGCATCCTGTTTGTCTCTATGTGGCTTTGCTATCAGATCACATCTATGTTTTCACCTTTGACTTTCACTCTTTGATGTTGGAACCACTTTGATGTGAGCGCGCCTGCTAAGTTTGCACACCACCTGTTGTTAACAATTTTTCTCAATTCGATAAAAATGTGTTATGCAGTTATCTGCTTTAGGGGGATTTGTTGATTAAATTCTGCTTACATTCCTGGAAGAAAAAGCCTGTGTTGTCAAAACAAGAGCTCAGAGGCGTACACGGGTGTTTATAAGATCTGCTGTTAGGTGATTAATATTGAGAAAGAAGTTAATATTGTTTCCATGTTTTTCATCCAAAAGACTTGTTTTGCAATGGAAATTAAATTTTTTCTATGAAGTGATTGCTGTAATTCAATAGATATTAAAGGTCCTATATTACACAAACTGACTTGTGAGCTCTTAGTCATGTTATAATGTTGTCACCTCTTCAAAATCATACCTGGAGTTTGTTTTGTTTTATTCACATATTTGAATAATCCTTTACTAATAGGCTGTCTGCATCTCCAAAGCTCAAAATGCTCTGTTCCCCCTAGTGATGTCATGAAGTTGTAGCTTTCAAGTTAACATCTATACTTTACCTTTACCTGTTTAGCAGAGACGGGCAATTCCAGTGTTAGCATTATCCAAATGATTTTAGTGAAGGTGTATGGAGTTTAAAAACACAGTGGAGCACTTCCTGTATTTACACATGACATCACAAGGTGGAACACGGTGTTTTCTCTTTGAGAGAAGAACTCAGCCTAAATATGCAGGGTTTGTGTGTTAAACGTGTGAATAAAACAAAACAAAACTCCAGGTAGACTTGTGATGAGGTAACAACATTATAACATAAATAATAATAAAATAGCCTAATATGATGCTTTAATTAAGTAACAGAACTTGTGGAGCAAAAATAAAATGCTTTAAAAGTTGACTTAAGAATTTTTTAGAGAAAAAAAAAAATCACAATTAAGGGTTTTTAGATGTTTCTGATGAAAACTACTGTGTGCAGCTTTTATGTAAGAAGAAATTCCCCCTCTCAAATGTAGGGCAGTTAAAGTATCTGATACAAAATGAAAATACCTAATACTTGAACTGAAGTAACACCTGGTTACTTCTTTCCACTGAGTAATGGATTTATTCACAGAAGGAAAGCTCATTCTTACAAGTACAGTGATACAGTAGCTGCTTTCCACAGCCAAAGAGGAAGACAAAAGGAAATATTGGACTCAATCAATTTGAATAGTCTGGGAAAACAACAAATACAGGGCAGCATAAACACAGACATAAACAGGCCGGTGCATGGGAGTAGATGAGAGGCTCCGATCACAGAGCCACAATGGGGAGGCACCTGCTTCCTCCATGGGGCAGGATAGCTCTCATCCTGTCAGGAAGCACTTGGTAATGGGATCAGTGGATGGGAAGCGACCCAGAAGGAGACTGAAGGAAAACATATGAGACAGGTGGAGAGTTAGTGCCAGGATCTAGAAGGTTCTGCAAGGACAGTTCAGCAGTTTCAGCAGTACACTTATGATAGACAACGCAAGGGATGTTGTGTGCTTCTTCGTAAGGTGTGTTTATATGTCCTGGTTTGGTCCTAGTTTAATCCTGATGTATATTTGCTTTGATCCTTTCTAGTCTTTGTTTAGGTCTGCTCTAGTCCAGGTTTCATTCTTGCTATAATTTGATTTTTTTATTGCATACATTTATTTCAGAACATCATCAAATGCAGAGTATAATGGAAAAAAGAACTTTAAATTTATTTAATCCTACCCCCAGTTTGTTTTCACCAGCTTTCATAAAGTAGCAGCATTCTTTATGTAATTTATTATAATACCAGTTTTAGAGTTGATGTGGTGTTTTGTGTTTGTTTGTGTGTGAGTGCACGACCTTAATAATACATAATCTGCAGCAACAATTTTGCTTTAGAAAGTGTGGTAGTGACCTTATTGATGTATAAAGTTGAGCTATATCATTTGCTGTATATATTATCTTCACCATATCATACTTCAAAAATGTAAAATACTGTTAAAAGTACTAATTCACATATTTAATTAACATTTGGAGTTATTTTTGAGATTTGTTTGAAATGATGTGGTATCTCAAATGATGTGGCACAGGTGGGACCAAGTCGTTGTTTTGCAAATCTCAAGTAAGTCTCAAGTCTTTGACCTCAAGTCCGAGTCAAGTCCCAAGTCTTCTGCTTTGAGCTTCAAGTCATTTCAAATCTTTAAACCAAAGTACCAAATATAGCTTAAATTTTTGCAATTTATATGAATTTTAAGATAAATCATACTTTAAAAAATCATAGTATATATATATATATATATATATATATATATATATATATATATATATATATATATATATATATATATATATATATATATATATATATATATATATAAGACTAGAAATTAATTTAGTTAATTTTTCCTTTTTAAACGTCTCCTCAAGATCTTGAATCATCATGGTTCAAGTCCAAGTCAAGTCCCAAGTCTTAGTCCATATCATCAAGTCAAGTCTCAAATCCTAAAAATAGTGACTCAAGTTTGACTCAAGTCCAAGTCATGATTTGCAAGTCCCATCTCTGTGTGATTGTTGTAAAAAGGCATCTCAATATGTTTTTATTCTCATACCACATGATTACATTTACAGTTCTGTATTTCCTATCAGCACAAACAAAGAGCTGACATTCTTGATGTGATCACCACATAGACCTGTCACGATAATTACTATATTGACTTATTGTTCACTGAACTGGAACTATATTCCTTGGAAGTCAATATTTATTGTGAGGGAAATGTTTTGTTATGTTTTGGCAAAATGATTTGATTTAAGGTGTTAAAGTTTGAATTACTCACTGCTATGACTCATTACAGATGCAAACTAAGAACATGAAATGATTCATTCTGCTATTTATTTATCGCAGCTCATTATTTTTTAATGGCATTGCAGATTTAGAATAGTTTTTGTAGTTTAAATATCCTTTACAGTTATTGTGTCAGTCACATAAATTAGTTTCAGTATTATCTTTACTTCATCAATTAATTTTTTATCGTGACAGGTCTATCACCACATGCAAAATTATTCTCCATTCTCAACACTTGGAGTTTTTCAGATGCATGTCTGTGTGTTATTCTAAGGCAAACAATATTGGACCAATCCCACAAATCTCACCGCTTTAGAAATTGTGGAAGTGACCTCGTTGACGCACAAGACTGAGCTGTGTGTCCCCTTTTGAAACTTTCAAATTTTGCAACACCACTGGACGTCAACAACCAGTGGGGTCATGTTGGATTTTATGTTTTTCTTTCTTCACCTCATTTAAAGTCTTGTCCTCTTTATTACTTTTACACGTGTCGCTTTAACATCCTACATAAGTCATAACTCCCTGAAATATTAGTTCCTTCCACTTTCTTTGGGCTCAAGTCCAGATTTTCCAACTGGGACAAAGACCGGAGTCCCCGGCCTAGCACTCCCCCTATTACTGAAGGGGACTGGGGACACACTTTAGACACAATAGCCCCTATGAGAAAAGCTATACTAGAAGTCCTGTTTATACCTGTAGTGCTAATGCTATTGTTACTCAAAGGTAGAAGTAGGAAAAAGAGCAAAGAAGCGGAATTTGTATGAACTTCCTGCCCGGGTTAACCGTCTGTATGCATGGATAACTCTGGAGAACCTGTGAAGGCTCTCAACAGAAGTGTGAAACTCACAAGTTTACAGGGGATTTCCCATATTTTCATCAACATAATCTCTTTAGTCATAAGGAGACTCAAGGGGGCGTGAATTTAAAGCTGCACTCCGTAGCATTTCTAGTGGAGGATGTGCCACCTGCTTGTCTCCATAGAAATATTATTGCTTTATCTAGAATGTTCCCCAACCTATCTATCTACACTACATTACGATTCAGATCCTTATTCACAGGAAGGATTACTGAATTTTTGAGCAGTAGAGACACCCATAATGAATAAATGCTAGATGGATATGTTTAATGTCATACCATGGAACATTCCTGGCAAAGCAATTACATTTTCATGGTGACAAGGAGGTAGAAAACCATCTACCAGAAAAGCTGAGCAGAAAGTAAACAAAGGAAACAGGTCATTGTAAAACTACAACACATTTTGATACCTCATAGATCTCTGTATGACTGCACCGCAGATCTTTGAGGAACTGCCCAGTTTCTTCCTGTTAGTCACATTTTGTGTTTCCATGTAAAGACCAAAATTGTGTTAAACGAAAGTTACAAAAATACATTTAGACCACCCAAATATAACGTGGGGTTTTGTCTCTTACTATATTTTGTAGTTTTATCGTATAACCTCTGGTGGTGCACTTTTTAATTTCCTCTTTTGATTTGTTTGCGTGGTTTGGATAGCTATTTAAATCAGGAAAGCTTTCTACTTTCTGAAGGCATCAAGAAGATGTTTTAAAAAATATCATAGCTACAGCAGATTGGTCTTTAAGGAGTAAGTAAAGAAATAAATTAAATAGTTTCTTTTTCACTTTTTCATTGTGGCTTAAAGGTGCACTATGTAACTTTTTGGTTGGCGATCTGCTTGTTTCTATGGAGATGTCATCACTCTGCCTGAAAAGTTTCACAGTATGATATTAAACAGCTCTGCCTTACATTTATTCAATTACAGGTGGTATTATAGCTCAAAAATACCTAGAAAAACAGGCATTCTGACTGTGAACAGGGTTGTCTCTCCACAGATCTGACTTGTAACTTGGTCTGGTTTTGGTCGCCATGAAGATGGAAAAGTTTAATGCCATACTGTGAAACATTCTAAACAAGTAATAACATCTCTAGAGAAAAGCATTCGATATACCCTCCAATAGAAAAGTTACACAGTGCACCTTTAATGTGTAAATTTAGAAAATGAACGTTAGAGTATGGATATTTTGTTTATAGTGCAACAGTACCTTTCCCATTTGTTTTATATATCCCCACGTGGTGTTTATTTGGAAGTAAACAGTGAATGGGGCTTCCCTGTGTCTTAATATGCAAGCAAGATGTGCTCAGATGAGAAGTGAAACAATCTGGATCCTTCTCAGCAAAGGACTGTTTAAACAAATTTATACAAAATCTCAGCTTTTCTTACTGGAAAACAAAAATTATAAATAACTGTAACTTATATATAGGATAATGATACAATGCTAGAACTATATTACAGACAAAACTATATTAATGATACACATTTTCCTCTTGTTTATAACCAAAACTTAGTAGTAGTAGTTACTACGTTAATGATGCTTTACAAGAGTTTTTTTTTTTTTTTTCTGTGTATTATGGGTTACTTATTTTGGGTGTTGGTACTGTTGATAGATTAGATCATTGACACCATTTAGAGAAGTGGATCACAACACAAATAATATATCAGATAAGAAAACATATATGGCTTTCTAATCACCACCAGATCTAAACTAAAACCATGACAGGTAAACCATGACTTAAAGGTGCATTGTGTAACTTTTCTGGTGGCTTTTCTCCTTGGACATGTCATTGCTTTGTCTGGAATCTTTCACAGTATGGCATTAAACTTTTCTATCTCCATGGAGACCAAATCAGACCAAGTTAACAGGTCAGATCTGTGGTGAGGCAACCCTTCTCACAGTCAGAAAGCCTGTTTCTCAAGGTTTTTTTGAGCAATAAAACCACCTGTAACTGAATAGATGTAAGATTGAGCTGTGGTTTCACTATTACTGTTTATCATCTATATTTTCTTGAGCAATGTGTCATACTTCAAAATGTGTTATTATTAGGGGTGTCAAATTATCGCGTTAATTGCGATTAATTAATTACAGTCATATTTAGCGCGTTATGTTTTTTAATCACGTTAATCTCATTTTTAATCTCTAACTTTAGTGTTTCTGTATGTGAGTTTCTTTATTATAAAACCTGTTTTTATGTGTTGTTGGGACAACAACACACACACACACACAAAACACATTTATACATTTTTTTATTTCGGTAATTCCCCTCATTGCCGGAAAGCCGCACAAAACGCGCGCAGTAACAGTGATGTAAACGTCATGTTAACGTTGGCGGCGTCAGTCGCACAATGGACGAGGTCGAAGAGCCAGTAGAACAGAGGCAGCAGCGCACAGGGAAAAACACATTCGTGTCTTGGAGATTATTCTCCCGACATGAAATATAAAAGAAAATAACAAATATAATATCGCCTGAAAACAACCTGCATAGGCTCATGATGTCTGCACTACTGTCCTATAGTGACCTGCCACATGAGGGGACACGCACACAAACACACACAAACACACACACAAACAAACACACACCTTCATCATCGTCATCAACCTGAGAACGCGCGGACCACGTTTCCTTCCGTAGACACTGCGCGGACATCGCTGTCCTCCCGTGAGCCGCGTGTGGATCGTGTTTTCTCGCGTACGCGGCGTAAACCGCGCTTCCTCCTGTGCGCCTCTAAACCAGAACTAACACCAAGACTAAAACCAGGACTAAACCAGGACTAAACCAGAACTAAAACCAGAACTAAAACCAGGTCTAAACCAGGTCTAAACCAGGACTAAACCAGAACTAAAACCAGGTCTAAACCAGGTCTAAACCAGGTCTAAACCAGGACTAAACCAGGACTAACACCAGGACTAAACCAGAACTAACACCAGGACTAACACCAGGACTAAAACCAGGATTAATCCATTCCAGGACTAAACTAGGACTAAAGTAGGTCTAAACCAGGTCTAAACCAGGACTAAAACCAGTGATCTCATATAGAAAGCATTTCTCTATCAATAATATTTTTAATATGGTTAAGGAAATACTGGACTTTTTATTGTCTTTAAGTAGACAAAAGTTATTATGTTCAGATTTCCTCGTCTTTGCTACTTTACAACAAACAGTTTCTTATTCATGGAGACTTGGGCTCAACAGCCAATTTGGAGAGATTTGTTAAACAATAAATGACTTTATAAAGTCACTTTTTAAATCTATATTAGTCTTTTGATCTGCCACAATAATGTAATAATGAATTTAAATGAAAATACCTCAAATTGAAGGCTTTTCTCAGCAATTTTTAGGTGAGATTAAAATGAGATTAATTAGATTAATTAATTACAGATCATAATTAATTAATCTCTCAATTTTTTTAATCGCATGACAGCACTAGTTATTATGACAGGGATAAAGCATAAAAGTTGTCCAACAGAGGAACCTCCATACCAGCAGAAGGAGTTTGAACCACTGTTTTATAAGGTATATGCTCTGTAAATATTTATCTTTTCGGACTTCCAGGATGTTAGTGATAAAACTGTAGAGTAACTGTTGTTTGTTTTCCCTCTTATGCTCTGATCATTTTCATATTGAGCTGATCATTTGCATTCAGACCAAACACAGCATCCAACAGGAGTTCTAAGCAAACTGTAAAACCAAGATAAATAATTCTGTGGAAAGGGCTGCCAGGGTGTGTACAGGGGAGGCTCAGTGTGTTGTTCTTTTGCAGAGGCTGAGCTGGTGAAGATGCAGCACACGACATGCACAGAGGACCGCATCCAGCACGCCCTGGACCGATGCCTGGACGGGCTCAGGCAAAGTCCCACCGCCGCTCACCACTGGAACGGTAACACACTTTACACACACTTTACACATGCTTTACACACACTGTATATGGTTTTTGGGCGACAGTATCTCAGTTGGTAGAGCGTTTGTCCATCATGGATAGAGCGCTAAGAGATGGGTGAGTGGTTCCTTGATGTAAAGCGCTTTGACCATTTACCATTTTTGGGAACATTAAACATCGACCTATTCTCCTTGTTCTGCCTTGCCCACTTTTATCCCTAAATGCCCCTAAATGGCGATTTCTTGTTTATTATTTTTATCGACTTATCTAGTTACTTATTTTCAGTATGTTTTAGATGGAACATTCCTTTTAGGGGTCAATATTTATACTTTTTTTAGCACTAGTGGGGAACTTTTTGTTATTTTTCTGTTCTACAATTTGAGTTGAGGTGTAGAGGGTTGAATAAATAACTTCTATGACTCATTATAGTTGTAAAATAATTACTAAGATGTTCGGTTCTGCTATTTATTTGTTTCAGTTCATGTTACCATATTATAAGCTTAGAATAGGTATTCTGATATTCGATAAGTGTGGTATAAATTTGTTTCAGTATTACTGTTCATCTCTTGTGTTTTATTTAGCAATATATCATACCTCAACATCATGTGACTTACCATTTTCTTAATGAATTTTTTTTTCCTTATCTGTGCTTAGAGCTTATTATTGGGATATTTTTTGTTTATGATAATATTTGTGATTTTTCGGTATTAAAGGGGGAATGTGTTTATTTCTATTTCTGCTGAACAAGTCTGCATCCATCAGAGGCTGCCACAGACTGTGAAAGACCTTTAGTACAACGGCCAATACCACGTCCCTAGGCTGGAGCAGACAGGGACACTTCTCTGTCCGCTCAGACAAAGAGTCCGAAAACTCCTGAGTCAAATGAACTGAACATTCATTTTAAACAAGCATGATAATGATAAACAACAGTGTGTGTGACCTACTGAAAGCTCTCAGGGATGTCTTCAGGACACACGAGGAGCCGCCTTGCCTAAAACACAGCGTTTTCAGTGTGTTCATAACATCCCAAGTCTGAGACAAAGAGAATAAAGAAGCCTTAGTGCACAGGAATGTCATAGGACTGGATAGGACAAGCAATCTGACTTCTTCTTCATCTTTCCCCTCCATCTCAAAATCCCACATCTGAACATGGGTGGACCTCTTTGCCAACTTGTGCACTGCCCTAGTCATGTGGTCAGTGACCGCAGAGGACCGCAGACCCTCCTCCTGCTGCCTCAACAGGTGCAGGACCATAACAATCTGAGGGATACCAGACAACAAACACACTTTAGTGTTCACTGGTCAACTGTTTGGTTACTTTGTTAATGTTAAAAACATTACTAATGCATTCATATTGTAATCCCCGCAATAGGCAAAGACATTATACCTGCCAGTTAAACCTTGCTGATACTTAAGACTTATGCCATTTGAAATCCTGCAAAGATTGAAAAGAATTACTTCTCTCTTTGTAGACATAATTCTGCAATTGATTATAAATATTTGTTAATGGTATGAGCACATCTAAGTACAGTATATATAGACCTACACTAGAATGAGATCAGAAATCTAGATGCCGAAACAAAATGTCACTCATACTGACTGACTGTCACTCACAACGACTGTTTTCGCTTCACTTTTTGTTTTTTCCTAAAATATCTACCTGCAAATGTGACGATAACGTGTATTTTTATAGCCATACTACATGTATGAAGACAGTTGGTGTGAGTCAGGCTGGTAACAGTGGGGCTGTGACATTGAAATATGTTTTTGGGGCTGGAGGAAACATGTGAATGAACCCACAGCTGGGAGGAAGTGGTGTCACCAACCACAGTGTGAGGTCGATGTATAACAAAAGATACAGCAGAGTGTGTTATCAAAACAAGCGTTCAACAAACTCGCCGCCAGGGGAGCTCCAGAAAGGGAATTTGCATTTAATGGAAGTGATAGAGGAGCCTCAAAAGTTCTATTCATGAGGTGAAAGTCCAATGCAAAATAGAGCTGCCATACACTGTAGATAAAATTACCATTGTAAATACATCTGCCAGGGTTAGCCTTGAAAAAGAGATTTTGATCGCAAAAACACCTGGTTAAATAAAGGCTAATTTATGAAATGTAAAATCAAGTCAAATTATTTCTATTATACCTTGAAATTTTTAAATACATCTTAACCAAATAAAAGTAAAAAATACTGACTGGTGGTTTCTAGAGGGAGAGTATTTAAAGAAATACATTTTTATTATGAATTCTTTATTATTGAAAATCAGAAAAAGTTGATTCATGTTCATGTTTTGTTTTTTATGTTAAGCTTAGATTGTTATAAAAGGCCTTTTGGTATGTGTTTGGTATTATAAACCAGATATCAAGTAATGATTATTAAAATGGACAACGGTTATTTTAATAGTTGACAAGTGATGATTATTCTGATTAAACGTTACATAATGACCACTATAACTTTTACGTCATAGCATTTTTAAAATACTCTATCTTTTTATCTTTTTATTGACTGTCTCTTTATTTCTGTGTTGTGTTTCAGTGCTGATGTGTGCGGCCGGGCAGTCGATGAACCGCTGGAGTTTAGAGGAGCTAGTGAAGAGAGATCCGGAGAACTTTATCATACTTCTACAGCAAATCCTCAGGAAAACCAAAGAGGTTAAGCCATTTTATTAACTTTTTTTATATAAGAGACAACTAACTTGTGTAATGCCACAATAGTCGGACACAGAATAATAATGTTACTACTTTACAACTTTACTTCCCACTGCTTTTGGGACATTTAAATTTATAGCTTTGTGGCCTTTGCGTGTCTATCTATCATTTTTACTGTCACTGCTCGTGCGATGTTATTATTTGTGACATGACTTCTGTTTTATAGTTTGCATGTTTAAAATAAAAATACTTCTCTGTGTAAATGCAGGTTCAGGAGCAGTGTCAATATGAACTCGTGGCTCCACTCGCCATCATGTTTTACTCCACTTTACTTCAGGTAAATATTCCTGGGTTTCAGCTTTCTGTTATATGCAACGTTTTGAGAACTTTTTCCTATTCAGAAGATATAATATTTTGTTTTGCATTACTTATGGCTCTGGCAACAGTCTTGGTTTTTCATGGGTAAGTCTGTAACAAAAAATGTGACTATTGTATTCTCGAAACCTAAGAGAGATTTATGCTGTGTGTTATGATGGTTTGGGTCACAACAAGCCAAAATCTTATCCAAGTTTAGTGTTGGCTTTATTTATTTTCGCTTAAAAAGGATGTGAAGGATGGTTTCCAGAAATCCTTGTGGTCATGTGGTAACCTTTATTTGAAATACACAAGGCTCTAAAACCGTGCAAGATTAATATTTCTACTGTGCAAGACTGTATGAGATAATAAACTACATCAATACAAAGAAAGTCACACAGTTTAAAAGGAAATACCATGGAAAAGTGCAGTTATTCGGAAGCACACATTTTGAAGAGTTGTGTTAAAACGAACACAACCACATACTGAAACAGAAGTTCATCTAATTTCACACATTTTTCGCAATAAGACATGTTTCAGTTTGTTGTTGTTGTTATCCCCAGACTCCATACTGTCCCCCTGACACAAATCTGCTGCAGAACGCCATGGAGGTATTCCGAGTGTTTCTGACCTGGCCGGAGCCGTACTGCAGTGTGTGTAAAACCCTCCTCACCACACTGGAGCTGGAGCTCAAGGTCCCAGGTAAGGTCTAATGCCACTGTTCACCCTCTTGTGGACAACAGAAGAACTGCATCAGGTCAATATGTACAACAGGGGTGTCCAAACTTTTTTCATCAAGGGCCACATATCTAAACACAGACGAAGCAGAGGGCCGATTGAGGGCTGTAGTCTGATGCTCAGTACAGGGAATAATTGAAATGTGTGCATGTTTAACACGTTAGAATGGGGCATCAGTCTTTATTCATGCTGACATCCTTAAAACCACACACTAAATATGAAATATTAGCTATATCAAGGTAGATTTTCAAAAAACATGCAGTAAAAAAAAATTTCAATTGATGCAAGGTAATTTGGGTCAATTCACCTGGAAGTCTGAGGGCCGCATTTGGCCCCTGGGCCATAGTTTGGACATGCCTGATGTACAATATGTAATACAAATGCAAATTATGAGGACAAAGCAAAAATAGAAGACAAAAGCTATATTAAAGGGTGCATGTTATGTTATTTTCTGATCTATGTTATAATGCTCTCATCAAAAACATACCTGGAGTTGTGTTTTGTTTCATTCGCACAAGTCAAACACACAAATTCTGTATAATTCTGCTTGAGTTCTTCTCTCAAACAGAAAACACTCAACACACAGGAAGTGCTCCACAGTGTTTTAAACTCCATACTATTTCACTAGTTAGTCCTGGAATTGTCAATCTCTACTTAACTAAAGGTAATTTGAAAACTACTGCTTCATGATATTACAAGGTGGAACAGAACATTTTGAACTTGTGAGATGTACTCAGACTAATAATGCAGGATTACTCAAATGTGTGAATGAAACAAAGCACAACTCCAGGTATGTTTTTGATGAGGTAACAACATTCTAACATGGCTTAAAGCTCACAAGAGTCAGTTTTGCATAATATAGGACCTTTAAACATGAGTTTACATTTACTGTTAAAGGAAGTGGTATATAGGTAATTAAGTTGTACTTACACGGACATTATGAAAAGTGGCTAAATAAAACTGCACTTTGTTCATCTTTTTTCATCTTTTTTTCTACAGGAATATCTTTTCAGAGACTTGTCAGAGAGGAGCAGGGTCTGAGCACGTCAAGGCACTGTTCCAAGATCATGTAAGTTTTAAAATGTATTCAGAAGTTGGAATATTTTTTATGAAGACCCGTATCTCTTAACAAGACTTCCAACTACAGGATGGTTACACCTACCAGAGTAAGCTGTAGAATAACAAACTACTGACATTAATATACAACTACTTTGTTTGTATTATACTTCTGCTTTTTGAACAATGCGTTTCCAGTCAAGAGTCAGTATCGAATTTCACAGCTCAAGTTAAAATACCTTCAGAAGAAAAAGGAACCTGATAAACTTGTTACATTATTCTCAAAATTGTCATAAAAAGTCCCTGTATGTTTGCATGACCCTGAGCACTGCCAACTGTGTTACAGAACTGTCCTACTGATGAACCCAGGTGAGGTCCCTGTAGATTTCCTCTCAGTGGCCGAGCAGCTAAGTCATGTCCAACATTCACAAAAAGACACCAGCATCACTCTGATCAAGCACGCCTTTCAGGCTGTCCTGGGAACCAAGTATCCTCTGCAGAAAATACATGCAGCTCTACAGGTAAAGCCCCATTAATACAATACATTAGCAGTTGCATAAAAGACACTGGGTGATAAATTATCTATATAAATATTGATAATTTACGTGAATTGGGATAAAATCACATTTGAGGTGCATTGTGTAACTCTTCTGGTGGAGGGTCCGACGAATGCTTTTATTTATTGCTTTGTTTTTAGAATATCTGATAGCATACTGTTAAACATTTCTGTCTTCATGGAGACCAAACCAGACCAAGTTACAGGTCAGATCTGTGGAAAGGCAACTCACTCACAGTCAAAATGCATGTTTTTCTTGGCATTTTTGAGCAGTGAAACCGCCTGTAATTGAATAAATGTAAGGCAGAGCTGTTTAATGTCAAAATTCCAGGCAGAGCAATGACATATCTATCGAAACAATCAGGTGACAAACCCCTAACCAAAGTTACATAGTGCACCTTTCATTTTATGGCATATTGTTCAACCCTATAAAATACTAAAAACTGCTGTTGTTGATTCTACAGGATAAAAGTTTGGCTGAAGTGGATAAGATCTACTCGACAGTGAGTGACCTGTTGGAAACTGCTGCGTCTCTGAATGATCCAGAACAGAGTCGGACTCACGTGGTGCAGGGACTGGAAGCTCTAAGGGCGAGCATGAAGATCCCGTCCTTTAACAGGAAGAAGTGTGATGGTAAATAGTACATATGCATAACTTTGCTTTCAAGTTCCTGTTTGTAGATGTCATTCTGGTTATTAACAATTACCAATTCAGAAAAAACGCCATCTTTTGAATAGCAAAACCAATAAGTTTTTTTACCGTTGTCAGTGAACAAAATTCACAAACTAGGGACTTGCTTTGGTGTTATGGTCCAACATTAAAGTACACTTAACACATTCATATATTTTTCTAATTATAACTTGGTTTGGTGTGGTAGTACCTGTGGAAAATATTTACATTATCTTTGCTTTACATCAGTTAGGTGTTGTAGGTTTGTGAAGAAAAGAAGAAAATAACACGTTTGGCTAAGTAGAAAGTTCTAAAATAGAATACCTTTACATATCATCAATGCCAACCAAAATACAGAGATAATTTACATGCAAGGAAAGCACCTTTCCACAGATCTGACCTGGTGTCACCTGCTTGTCTCCATAAATAATCCGCAATAAATAAATTAGTTTCCATACTGTGGAAAATTCCAGGGAAAGCTTTTATATTTCAACTGAGACAAGCAGATGGCCAACCAGAAAAGTTGCATAGTAAACCAAAAATGTAAAACAAAATGCAATATTTACTTTTATCCATAGTAATGTAACTAACAGATGGCTCATCTTTCTTCTAAGGAATGCTGCAGACGTTACCACTGCCAACAGCCAAGTGCCACATGTTCTACTGGGAGAAAGACAACTTCGGTAAAGCAGCAAATGAATGCTCAAAATATTAAATTACACTTAAGACTGTACTGATCCGCAAGGGAAATTATTTGTATTACTTATTAATTCACTATGTATTTCAGATGTCCTCAACACTCTCCTGGACCACGACAGCTACACTCCTTCAAACTGCGATGAGGAGGAGGAGGACGAGGTGGAGCTGGACGTGGACGAAGTGAACGTGACTGCGTTCGACCTGGACGACAAAGAAGGGGTGGAGCTAATGAAAGAGACCCCGCCACATGGCACAGAGTTACCTGCACTGATGCACGAGCTCAGATCCAGCTACAGAGCTTCTACTTTCTCCACCATCTCCTCTCTGTCCACAGCCTCTAAAGACTCCATGTTCTCCACTTTATCTACAACATCTGAATCTTACGCTGCATCACTTATGTCTTCTGGAATTGACAGTGACTTTGAAGATCTGGATGATTATATTTGTCAATCACCCAACGCGGATAAGTGTTCTCCAAAATCAGGGAACAAAACTAGATTAAGCCAACATTTTCAAAGGCTGTTCAGACCCAAGAGCCCTAGATTACTGTACAGGGCGAAAAGCTTGGGGAACACTGAATCCAAAGACCTTATAGTTGTGAGAGAGAAGAGGTCCAATTCCTTACCACAGCAGGTTCACTTGAGGAGTTTGGAGACGCAACTGAACACACAAAACCAAGCACTAAGACATGTCTGTTTTAGAAGGAGACCCATTCTCAGCAGTGATGAGGATAGTAAAAACACTACATTGAGGGTGGTGGTCTTTGGAGCGGACCATGTGGCGGGGAAAGTGGCACGTGCCTACAGCAGCCTGAGGATGAGAGAGAGCGCGTGTCCTCACCTGACGCGCGAGTTCAAACTCCAGTTTTATTTTGTGCCTGTAAAGAGAGACATTGCTACTCAGAATGGTTGTGAAAAGGGAACGCCACCAAGTCATGTAAGTGTTTAGATTGATACAGGGTAGTAGATGGGAAGGACATAGGGGTCTGTTGTCCCGGGCCCCAGGGTTTCGGCTGTAATATGGGCCTTTTAAGATTTAACAATTTCTATCTACCAACATTTTGAGTTTTTTTCCCCCATTCTAAAGATAAACTGTTTTGTTTTAAATTGTTAATGGCTATGGTTATGATCCTAATTTTTCATAATTCTGAAACCCGTGGATATTAAATCTGGAAGAATGAAACTCCAGCCTGTGCACAATCCAAACCCAACTCAGTGAATTCATCCAATCCATCTTTATCCTACGTGTTTCCACCTCTGTAAAAGACGAGATAGACTTCAATGATGACGCTGGTGTTTTCTTGTGACTGATGTGTGTAGGATGCGACTCTGATGGGAACAGGGAACAGCACCAATGACATCGCTCACCTTCTGGGAATGTTGGATCCATGGTACGAGAGGAACACCCTCAGTCTACTCAACCTGCCTCCAAATGTTGTCTGCCAGGTAGTCACTATGTAATTACTAACTAACTATAGTCTAACCCAATGCGTAACGGTAGAAATCCTAAAGTTGATGTGTGCATTTTGTTGTTTTTTTCACAGCAAACTTCAAAGACGGAATCAGACTCCTATGACAGCTCATATGAACAGCGTTTGCCTATTCTCGCTGACCTGGTGCTATATTACTGCAGATATGCAGCCAGACCAACCCTCATCCAGCTTTATCAGGCTGAGGTTAGGAGCTCTTTTACACTTGCCTCCATGGGATTACCTAAAAAGATGGAATAGGATTGTGATTTTTTTTTATTGCTTTTTTGTTGCATTATAAAACTGAACTGCTAAACATCTTTCTTTTATAGTTATTTGTACCATTGACTGTGTATCTTTCTACTGATCTAATTTAAAGGACCTGTGTTATGCTATTTTCTGATCTATGTTATAATGTTTCCTCTTCAAAAGCATACTTGCAGTTTGTTTTTGCTCCATTCACGCATGTTTAACACACAAACCCTGCTATTTAGGGTGAGTTCTTCTCACAAACAAAAAACACTCCACCTTGTGATGTCACGTGGTAATCATATGGTGGTAATAGAGGAAGTGTGGTTTTAAATCACTGGATTGATTTGGATGACTTTAGACCTGGAATTGCCAATCTCTACCGAACTAATGGTAAAAGCTGTTTACATGAAAATTAGCACTATGACATCACAAGATGGAACAGAGCATTTTAAGCTTTGTAGATGTAGACAGACAGTGTGAATGAAAGAAAACACAACTGCAAGTATATTTTTGATGATGTAACAGCTTTATAACATGGATTAAAGTTCATAAAAGTTAATTGTGTGCAGTGTAGGACCTTTAATTGTAACAGTTGCTTTACAATATCAGATGCTCAAATTACAACAATGGAAAGAAAGATGTTTTGGATACAGTTTACATGCATCAGCACAAATCGTTTTTCTAATCCTGTTGCAAAATGGTTGAATGCACTGCTACTTAAAACATTGTGCTACCAATATGTAGTACATAATAATATTAATAATAATGAGCAAACCTTTATTATATATCTAATTATTTTTCTATCATAGTTGACCTTCGCGGGTGGAGAGAAGAGGACTGAAGTATTTGTTCACTCTCTGGAGCTGGGTCACGCTGCAGGAACACGAGCGATCAAAGCCATGGGTAAATTGGTTGTCCTTAGCAACAGCTCAGCAATAAATATAGCTCAACTAAACAATTTCCATGTAATGAAACGCATCATCACTTTCTAAGTTCAAAAATGTAATAATTTAATGGAAGGACATCTGCTATTTCAGTGCTATGATTCACCCTGCTTCTTGTTTTTGAGTTTCACTTGTGTCACCAGTTTCACACTTTGAGTTTTGATCCAGTATTTTCTGCTATTTTAGCAACAGTCAAGACTCATTACTTCACAACATCTAATTCGCTGTTACTCTCTCCTTTAAGGTACAGCCAGTAAACGCTTTGGCATTGATGGTGATAGAGAAGCTGTGCCTTTGTCATTGGATATGGTGTATAACAGGGTAAGAAATGTTGTTATTACCAATCTAAAGTACATAACCATATACTCAATTTAATGACCATTTTCTGCTCATTTAGGTGGTTGTTAGTGGGAGAAGCCAATGGAAAAGAGAGCGCAAAGTCTGCACCTCAGTGAACCTAACCAAAGCATGTAAAAACCCAGAGGAGCTTGGTATGTCAAACATCAGTTGTTAAAAATCATAATTTTATTTATATATGGTAGTTTTATATGGCGTAATGTGTGAAACTGTTAAAAGTACAGTTTGGTGTTTCTTTGTCAGACTCAAAGATGGAGTACCTGCAGCTCTCAATGACTGAAGTCATAAAGAGACAAAGTGGGAAAAGCAAAAAGGGTTTTAACCAGGTAGGCACTGAAACTACAGAGGGATTCAATCATTAATTATTAACATAAGATGCCAAAATTATAAAGAAACATGCAATCTCAGACCATCTCTAACCATGTATTGTATTTCTTTGATAGCAGCTCAGTCTGAATGAGGTGAAGGTGGATAAGGTACAGATCACTGGGGAAAATAACACATTTGCTGTGTGTCTGGACCAAGATGAGAAGAAGATTCTGCAGAGTGTTACCAGGTGATGCTCAAATGTGTATAATTTTTTCTCTGCACACATAGATGAATCTGAGCTAAACCAGACCCTTTCACAGGTGTGAAGTATCCGTGTGCTATAAGACTGACAGCTCCACTGACTGGACACTCAGGAGACCCAAACCCTCCGCTCAGATCCAGCCCCTGCACCCCACCTTCTGTTCCCTCCTCTGCTTGCCCATTGTCACCTTCAGCGGAGCTCTTCCCTGAGGTGTACCTGGAGACACACACAGACTAGGACTATAAAACCTTAAAAAGATGTCTGTTAGGTACAACTGTACTGTTTCAGTCAATTTATGTTTTATTCAAAGGTTGAATCACTGTCAAATAGTATCATTTTCTACTATGAAGTGATTTGCTGAAACCGTTAAAGTAGCCGAGTTTTTTAAATGAAATCTCTTGAAATGTAATGTAGGAATGAGTTCAGTGCACATGTAAATCTGTAAATTTTGTACATAAACTCTTAATGAGCTGAAAAATTTGGTTTGCACAAGTCCTCAACAGTGGAAGGTGTCTGTATTCACTGACATTAAAATACATGTCTCCACAGTGATGATAAAATATTTTATTAAAGAATGATTAAAATTAATCCTGATCCTGATTGTTATTATTATTATTTTTTTTATATTGTTTTAAGAAAGAAATTCACTTCACTGATAAAAGTGTTACCAGCTGATCATATCTAGGTTACTTACAGTAATATCTCGAAGGCTGTGCCACCATAAGGGAACGTTCAAGTCATTCAATTACAGTTGCAGCACTTGTGTCCAGCAGGGGGCTCTGTTGGACTGTATGTGAGAGCCTGTGACCAAGCGTCGATAACATTTTTCAAATTCATCCTCATGATGTGAGGCTATTGTTTAAAGGCATCGTATAGTGTTTTGTTGTATATAATATATGTCCTTAAATCTTATTCTTATGTCTTTTTTATCGTATTCATATGAAGTTATGAAAGACCTTCATCAAATATAGTATTCAAATATAGGTTACTGTAAACAATTATCTCTTATATCATTATGCACATGTCGACAGACTACATTTGATTGATGGATATGTTTATGAATAATCCTCATTTGTTTCTCGCACATGATTGGTCAGTGTAAACGGGGCGTGGCCTATTGACAGATTCTTTTCAGAAATGCCACACGCGCTTCTTAACACGGGGAGGAAAGATTGCGTTTTTGCTGCCTGGTAAGTTAAAATGCGTTTTATTTACTGTAACAATTAGATCTACTATGTTGCTGCTCAAGATGAAAAATGCAGGTGATCCTGTTTTCTTTACGTTTTTTTCTGTGTTCAGTAATTTCACCTAAAACCCCCAGGTGAACTGTGAACAAGTGCACATTGTTGCACATTGCGGCGAGTTTTACATGGCTAATCCATGCGCTTTCATGTCTGAGAGCGGCTCTGTTTTGTTTTTTCCTCCTGTGAGTTTTGATATCAGTGGTGGATCTGACTGCTGCAGATCACACGCTGCTGTGGACATCCTCCGGTTTCCTTATTTTAGCTGTGCTCTTCCTGAACCCACAGAGAGTTCATGGAGATGAAGTGTATTTAGTCTGAGGCCTGCTGTTGTCTCTCAGGACCAGGATATAGGTCCTATAGTATTATGCAAAATGGACTCTTGTCAACTTTTAACCATGTTAGTTACCAAGTTGTTACCTCATCGATACATGGAGTTGTGCTTTTTGTTTGTTTGTTTGTTTGTTGTTTCATTCACACATGTTTGAGTAATCCTGTATTTTTAGGCTGTCACCAAAGCTCAAAATGCTCTGATCCCATTTAGTATTAGTTTTCCAGTTAACTGTTACATTTTACCTTTTGTTTAGTAGAGGATGGAAAATCCAGGGCTAAAATTATCCAGATGATTCTAGTGGAGGTGTATGAAGTTTAAAAATACAGAGGAGCACTTCCTGTATTACCACATGACATCACAAAGTGGAACAGATTGTTAGCCTAAAAAAATGTTGGAAATGATGATGAGAAAACATTATAACTTAAACCAAAAAATTGCAAATATGGGCTCTTTAAATAAAATAAAGAATGACCTGCTTTGACTTGTCACAGTGAAAATGAGGAAACAGGTTTTAATATTATGACACAGTGTGACAGAAAATCCCTGAGGTCATCATTTAAAACTGTCGTGGTTTGTCTCCATGTTATGTTGAGCTGCTTTGAGTTTAAGCAACAAGTCTGATCTGCTGATATTTGTTTCTGTTTAGTAGTTTATTGCATCATGTTTAAAAAGTATATGTAAAGTTGTTATTGAAGGTCCTATAGTATGCAAAAATGATTCTTGTGAGCCTTAAGCAATGTTAGGATGTTGGTACTATCTCAAGAACATACCCAGAGTTGCGTTTTGTTTCATTTACGCATGTTTGAGTAATCATGGTTTATTAGTCTGTTATAAGTCTGTTAACAGCTAGCTTTTACCTTTAGCTCAGTAAAGCTGGGCATTTCCAAACCTGAAATATTCCAAATGATTCTACTGACGGTGTATGGGGTTTAAAAACACAGTGGAGCACTTGTGTCACGGTGTTATGGAGTAACAAGGACAAATGTCTTCATTTTGAGAGAAAGAACTCACATAAGCTTTCTGTGGCAAACATGTGTGAATGAAACAAAACACAACTTCCAGTATGCTTGTGATGAGGAAACAACATTTCATCAGAAAAATAGCGTAAGAGGGGGCTTTTAGTGCATCGTAATGAGGTTTGACTGTGACATATTACAGAGACAGGCCAAACTGTTGACAAAAGCCTCTTGTTAAAGTTTTATATTTTTGCCTGTGTCACAGGACCAGTTTTAGGTTATTTTTGACATGAAGCTTGTTTGAGTGCCCATTACCACATTTCTTGTTTTTACTGGAGCCATGGTGACAAGTTATAAACTTTACTGAGCACTATATTTAGTATCCTCCTCTTGAAGACGCTATTACTTCAAATTCTACTACTTCTACACAAATGGTGCCTGGTATTTGATTGACCCCAATAGGCCTGTCACAATGATTATTGTTGCTGTTCAGTATATGGAACTATATATGTTGGAGCTCAATATTTATTGTGTCCATTTTTCGTATATAGTGGGATAGGGATAAGATGATAAAAAACGCATAGCACACTCAGATGGCTGATGTCCAACACCTTTTTATTTTTAAATAATGTTTTGGTGAAAGAAGCCTTCATCAGATATTTTTCTCGTTTGGACCACAGTATACAAAATGGTTGCCAGCCCGGGTGTTCATATACGTATGAGGTCACCCAGTGAGTTTAGCCCACTCTGTAACAAGACAAAAATAGTTCTGATATTTACATAAAAAATATTCTATTAAATACAGAAATAGTTTAACCATATCACAAAAAGCGTCTTAGGTCAAACTCTACATTCAGTCCATGAGGAGCAAGACCCGTAAGTTGTTGAATCCAGAAGTGCTTAGTGATGAGACGAGACACAATTTCTACAAAATGAGATACAGAATGTCATGAGATTTTGATAACATTTTTAATAAATAAATCAGTTCACTATTTTGGCCTCACAGTTTTTTATGTATTTACAGTTCTGGTGTCATTTTAGCACTGCTTTTTGGTATTACAGCTTCTCAAGAGGAGTTACTCAGCAGAGTTAACCTTTTTTTATCTAAGCCAAATGTAAAAATATGAGGAAAAAAAATCTCATGAGATAATTTTCCTCATGCGTTCACAGTCTTGAGGCAATTTCGTCTCACGAGATCTTGTGGCATGAAATCTTGTCTCATCCCTTTATTGGGGAGATTTTTGGCCATTTTATGTAATACGATAAGATTTGAGCTAGAGATTAGAATAAAAAAAGTTCTGTGACTAATTATTCATTCATTCTGCTATATATTCTTTACATCTTAAGCCTTTAATGATACTGTGGATTTAAAAATAGGTTTACTGGGATTATCTTGCTTTGTGTCAGTAGGATAAAGTAGTTTTAATATAATCGTTTATTGCAATAATTCTCTGTAGCAATATATCATGTTTCAAAATTTGTTATCGTGACAGGCCTAGACCCAAACCACAGGAAAAGCCTGTGTTTGATATCCACTGTTGCTCTTTTAAACTGTTCCTTTGTCTTGCTGATGCATCTAGCTTGAATGGTTTGCATGCACATAACAGCCTAGTTAGTATAGAGTAGCTAGATAGAAGTAACAGGTAATGACCCAAAATAAGTAAACAATAGAGATGATAGAATATCTCGTGCATCAAGATCTCATGAGATAAAAATGACAAAAGATTATGCACACATGGGAAAACATGATCCTGTAAGATTATTTTTCAAGTATTTATATTTTGGATTGGACATACAAATTACATGTTACAGCTCCAAAAAGCAATACTTGAATGGAAACAAAAATATCAAATCAAATAAGATAAAAAACTGTGAGGCAGAAACTGAATTGTGAAATGTATATATTAGGAATTATGTTAAAATTTGGTCTTGTCTTGTTCTCATGAACCCAGTCACAAGATGGAACAGTGGTGACAAAGTACTATAATCTTTACTGACTAATGTATGCAGTATCCTTCTCTTAAAGATGATATTACTACTAGGGATGTAACAATAACCGAAATATCGTGATATCGTATCATTAAAGTTCTCAAAATAATATCATGGACCATCACAATATCGAATTACAAGTTTCTTATCTTAAATTAAGAGTTATGGTGCAGCAATAGCTAAAAAAGACAGAGAGAACTACATAGACCATGATCCTTTGCTCCATTTCACTGCAGACTATGTGAAGACATAACAGTTTTAAGCACTTTTGGATTAAGTCTTGTCAAGGCATTTTAAGAGAAAAAAGTAGCATATTAAAAGAGTTGTTAGCCTCCACAAAATATTGCAATAAATATTGTACCGTGAGATGTATATCATGAAAATATTGTACCAAGAGATATGGATTGGGTATTGGTACATTCTTAATCGTGAGTCTCCCCACCACATCATGAGCTTTCCTACAATATTAATAAATATTGTACCATGAGGTTCATACCGTGAGGATATCATACCATGAGACTTGGATATCGTTACACCCCTAATTACTACAAATTCTACTACAAATTGTGACTGATCCAAAAGCACTTCATCATATTTTATTCTCCTAAACTTTAACACAGGAAAACCTATGCATCTAGCTTGAATAGTTTGCATGCACATAACAGCTGAGTTGGTATAGAGAAGCCAGATAGAAGGTAGTGATCCAAAATTAGTAAATAATGAAAAATTATTGCTGAAACATATAACTGTTGGACTTATATAGTGCTTAGTCAGTCAGAGATGTTTTACAAGCAAATACTAAGCAAAACTGTAGAAAATGGGTGGAATCATGCGGGGAATGCCAGATTGAACAGGTGAGATTTTAGCAGTGAGTCCGAGTTCCTGATGGATTGTGGCAGTGAGTTCCAGAGGGAGGGGGCAGCAGCAGTGAAGGCTCGGTCCCCCAAGGTCTGGTGCTTTGTTCTGATGAGGGTCAGCTGATCTGAGGCAGACAGAGGAGGTCAGTGAGATAGAAGGGGCCAGGTTATGGCGGGACTTGTAGGTAATGAGGAGGACCTTGTATTGAAT